TTCCGACTTTAAACATTAAAATGAAGAAAGAGAATCTAAATTGTGATTACTGGCAACCAAACACCCCCTAATAATAACTCTGCCACGTGCTCTCCTCTACCTGAATTGAACGCAAACTGTAATCTAAAACGTTTTAATTAGTTTCAATAATCTACCTGTATTTCTCTCACATAACTCACACCAGGATAAAGACCACATAACAGTATAATATAATTACTTTATAACCGACATCCGTGATGCGTCCAAATGGTTAATAAAACAGATTGCGAGAGAGAGAGAGAGAGAGAGAGAGAGAGAGAGGCGCAAAGTAGGGCATTTCGGGACCCACGCATGGTTCAATTTTATTTCAATAATTCGCTTCCGCGTAGGGGTCTTTAGCAGTAGGAGGAAACAGGAGGACCCGGAGAAAACCTACGAGGTTGGACAGGCGACCCTACTCCTTCTCACGTACAAACGGGGAATCGAAACCACGCAACTTGACTCAATGACAGACCTTACGATTCCAGGCGCACGCGTTAAACAATAGCCCCCCCCCCCGCGCGTTCTTTATAATGAGAGTCGTTATAAGGAGCGTTTGGTAAGTAACAGGGGACACAGCATTTCCATGTGTTGTTTTCTTTTCAAAGTTAGTGGATGCTGCTCTCTTTTTTTCGGTCTGTATTATTCAGGTTGTGAAACGTGGATGCAACGTCCGTTATTTATACAAATTTAGCCACATTTAAAAAACGGATACATTATTCAATAATGGATATATCTTATTTTCGTAGTCACAATTTATATGTTATATTCTCCAGGTGAAAAAAGAGCAGGAGAAAATATTGGGGGTAATGTGGGTCCAGTCCTTCGGGTTTCATAAAAAAAAAACCACGAGGTCTAATTTTATCGGGAAGCAAAGTCTACGCCTACTTTTCATCATGGGTTCTTTTTCATGGACACCACCTTGAACACGACTTGACCTTGCTTTTCTTTTTCCAGCCGAACATTTTATTTTCAGCCCATAGTTGCGTCCCATGACAAGCGGGAACCGGACACCATAGTTTTAATAACAACACAAAACAAATAATGTGAAACTCAAAACAAATTTAACGGCAAGTGAGATAATTTACAGTTATATCAATGTGTATTGTGTAATATAAAGACTGCTGTCAGTGTGTAATTAAAGCACACGCGAGTATTTACAAAAATACCTCCAGGAAACATGGGCTGGCTTGTTCGAAAAAGATAGCAAAATTAGTATTACTTATTTTATCTAAGACACATAAAAATGACGGCGTGACAGCAATAGTAGCTTAACCGATGTAAACTTTAAAGGAGCTAAATCGCTAATATTTGGGACCTAGAAATTGACCCAAATGGATCGCAACGCATATAATAATGTAATCTGATTGTATATAAACAGATTTACATTCAATTGTTTCCGTTTTGACTCTAATTTCAAATCAGCTATGTCCCGCGAAATACGGCATGAGTCCATAATGTATGCCTGTGTGATATTAATGCTCATATTGAGAATTACTACATTAAATATACGACTCATTACATTAATGACAAACAGTGCATCAGAATACCAAGCGCCCAACAGTTAAGTTTGGACTGTGTATCCCTGTGCAAATGGCTGTGAATAATATTCATGGTACAAATCGGAAGAACGACGAAACCAATGACTTCCGAATAAGATTTTCAATTATTGATGGTGGATGCTATGAGATTTTATAATTTAAACCAACTGCACCACCATTACGTAATGAATCTAATGCAGTTATTCTCAATATTAATATTATTAATATCATATAGGCATACATACTTTTATGATTTTGATTGTTTTAAAACACACGTGCATTCGACAAACCTTCGACTGGGGTAGGCGGCTTAATGATCTTTTGGTGTTACTATAGATTCAGTGGTTCTCAACCTGTTTCTGCAAACGGCTTGTAACAAATGAAACATTAGCGGCACACCTGGCTAAATATATATGAAAAATATTTGAATTTTGTAAAATAAAAACATAGCAAGTCATAGACGGCATACAACCGTAGACACAGACTAGTCATAGACATATAGAATGACTCAAACTTAATATTGAAAAACACAGCTATGAACTTACTTTATTTCAATGTTTCGAATTTCATCAGTCAAATAGTTGGCTTCTTTAGTGAGAAATTTTCTTAGTGCGCCGTTCAAAATTTCGCGGCACACTTAGGAAGATCTCTCGACACACCCGTGTGCCGCGGCACACTGGTTGAGAATCACTGCATAGATGATATGCAGAAACTAAAAACTCATGAGATAAAAAATATATTATAAGTACACACAATCATTTAGATTTTGAGAAAACGTTAAATAGAGACAGTCGAAACCTACGTGGGGCACCATTGAATTATTATTATTAAAACGAAAGCCACCGGCATGTATCTTCTTGAGTTGTAATAATAACGAACTTTTTGTACAAGGAAGGAACTGGGCTCCTAGCGCTATTCATCTTGCTGTTGTTCTTGATTTTCTTCTTCTTGGGATGACGATTTTCAAAAAAAAAAAATAATTAAAAAAATAAAGGCTGCACCATTTCATGTACGATCGACATGAAACTGGGCATGATTGTTCCTTCGATTTTGATATGACGTCACAATTCCCAGAGGCGACGATGAGGTCATGCTCGTTTACGGGGCAGGATCCCAGGATTCTCGACTATTATGCACTAGAACATAATTTTCTGGTATCAGTCATTCATGTAGAATAATACTTCTAACCTCGCTGAATTAATATAATTATTGGCAAGATGACATATGAAATTTGCCGTATAGCCTATGTAGGCCTATTATGAATAAACAGGAAAATGGCGAAATTTGAGAGACAAAATTAATGTTGGTGCTGTTTGGGTTTTTTCTAGCTGTTCGGTGTTTATTTCAAAAAGAACTTATTTCATATCATTTCATTAAAACATCTCAATTGTGATTGAGAGAAAATCGAAATTAAAGGCAATTACCCCTTTCCAGATCTTGATCGGTTCATAACAAAATAATTTTGGATTTGAAATGATTTGCCCATCCGTATACATAAAATATAAACTACCCCGTCTCTTGCCATTTCACAGACAACGGTAGTTATCAGATGTTATTAGCAGACCGACGTGATTAACACCTCTGTAATAGCGTGATTACTATTGAAACATTTTCTCAAAATAATATACTTATTTGTTCTTTATCAAATTCCCTAAATGTGGAGAGGAAATTTATACAGAAAGCCCACCGGACACTAATACAAGAAGATCAGTACGATGATCTTCTGTAATTAGGAGAATCTACGGTTATTTTGAATATTATACATGTAGTATTAAAAATGTGATAATGCCGCGCTAATGTAAATTATTACTGTGAAATAAAATATCGAGGTCTTTTTTTTTCTTCTTCCTTTTTTTATTAATAACATAAAATGTAATCCTCTGTACCGATGATATTAAAAATGTTTGCAATCTTTGTTCTAATTAAAGAGAAACTGTAATCAGTTCACCATGGATTATAAATTGCAATTTCGTTCGTAATCTATCTAAATCATACGATAGCTATTTATTAAATTCTATATTTAAATCCAAATATTAAAGGTTACCTTCGTACATCAACACAAAAGATCTATCTACGATTTGTAATCCATGTGGCGTAGTCTGCAGTCATGGTATGCAGGATATAGAAATCTGATGTCGCGTAACTTTGTTGTATTTTGTATTATTGTAAAACCCTACATGTATTCGGGGGGGGGGGGATAAAAATCTGGACCACTTTTTATTTCACTGCTTCTTAAACAAATTTTATACTGTTATAAGAATATGTTGTCTTTATACATAATATCATAATAACAATTTTTATACTACAATACAAAATGTATAACAATTTAACATGGTTAATGAGAATAGCGGGTGCCACGGTGTATAAGTGGGTAAGACGCTTGCTCGCTAGCCTGGAGGTCGAGTATTCGATCCCTGCATTGACCTAGAAAGTTCATCGGGATTTTCCTACGTGATTTCCCCTTGTCAGTGGTGCAGGACAAGGACAGCTGTCCAGTTGTTCGGGTGGGACGAAAAATCGAGGTCCCGTGTATACATTGACATGCACGTAAAAGATCCCTGTCAAAATTTTTCTCTAAGCACACTGTATGGCGTATGTCGGTCGGAGCAGAACAATAGGGCGTTAAACCACATTTCATTTCATTTAACAGCAATTTAAATGGTTAATAACAATTCCATATGGTCCATAACGATTTCACATGGTTAATAACAACTTCGCGTGGTTAATAAAAATTTGACATGATTAATAATTTAAAATGGTTAATAACAATTTCATACAGTTAACAAAAATTTCCATCATTAGCCCAGTCGGAAAAGAACAGTAGGACGTTTAACCACATTTCATTTAAAAAGAATTTCAAACAGTTGACAGCAATTTAAATGGTTAATAACAATCCCATATGGTTCATAACAATTTCACATGGTTAATAACAATTTCACATGGTTAATAACAACTTCACGTGCTTAATAAGAATTTGACCTGATTAATGATTTAAAATGGTTAATAACAATTTCATAAGTTAACAATTCACACGGTAAATAACAATGGTTATTAACAATTTCAAATGGTTAATAACAATTTTATACGGTTAATAGCACATGGTTAATAACAATTCCAATGGTTTAATAACAATTTCAAAGGGTGATATAATCAAAAATACACGCTAAGGAAACCAACTTTACTATTATACACTTTTTAACTTAATTGTATGTATCTTTACATAAGCTTTGCGGAACTGGTCCCTAGTAATAAACAATGCAATATAATACAATGAATTGTCAATTAGTAGTTCGAAGAAAACACACCATTAAAGAGGTATTATAACCCTTATCAAGGAAATAAATCTAACTAAGTCAAATCATGTTAAATCGTTGAAGTATTTTGTGTATTTGGATATAAATTATTACACACCTGTAATTAAAAGATTAGAGAGGGTCTTACCTGTTGCTTTCCCGGTTCCCGATAAACTTCCAAGAATCCACAGGACGAATAATACACATTTCCAATATGATTTATAATCTCTGCACATTGTTATTGAAATAGTTTCTCTTCCCTTTAATAAAATGTTGCTATCCTTTTATGACCTTTTCAGAATCTTTATTTCGACGTTTTAAAAAATTATAAATATCAAGTAGAACTATCTCGACTTGAATTCTTGGGTATTTTACACACCTTTAAGAGACGCCAATACCGGAATAAACAGTAGTATTATTCGTATTGAATACCCGCTACTGTAAAATAACAGCGCGAGACTTGACGTACACGATATAGTACTCTATGAAGCGCGCGCCACTCATTCGCCACGCGCTGCCGTCAAATATTTCTTAGATTTCCACGTGTGTGCTGAAAGCGCCGCCTGGAATATCTTTCACGCTTCTTAGAATGCCAACATGCAATGGTTTTGTAATAAAGATGGTTAACCGGTATTAGAGTGTGAGTATGACAATAAGTTTGGGAAATAACAGACATTTGTCGAGTAATTGTTTTACTCTTGTAACGAACTTCACAATGAAAGACAGACAGAACAAAAGAAATATCAACAATGCAGGGTGGGGGTACGGTTAGATGCATGTTCTCATTGTGACTAAAACATTTCCAGCTCCGCCTGGAAGTAAAATAAAGGAGTAGAAGCTATGGTTAGAATTTGGATGTCCTTTGAAGACTTTCTATTCCAAATTTTGGACATATGATACCACTTCTCACAAAAAATACTGTTTACCTACTGAACATATGATACCACTGATAACAATAAAATATTATTTATCTACTGGAATGTAGCATAACACTTCTAACAATGGATGTCGTGTACGAAGCAGGATAATCTTTTGATACCATTGAATCAGAAAAAATACGCAACTGAGTTAAAGAGTTGAATTACTGTGATGTTTTAACCACACCGGGGCACCATATCACTAAACCTTAATGTTAATAGTGCTAATAGCTTATTAAATATCTTGTTCAATTTATAATGTTCTACTATATCAAACGATATTAGACACGACAACATGTATAAACTGTTCAACAAGTGTACTTTAAAACATTATTAGACATCAATATTATCACCAAGTCGTTCGTTATTAAATCATAAGCGTTGTTAATGTTCTCAATATACATGAATGAAGTCCATATACAATCAAAAATACTCTTATCAAAGATTCCCTCTTGCCCAAAAATTATTCAGAATGATTAATTCTGACATCATTTAAAATGCACGTTTTCGTTAAATAATAATTTTGCTGTTTTGTTTTTTTTGGGGGGAGGGGGGTGGGGTTTTTTTTACGAGATAGAACAGTGATTCTCAACCAGTTTTTCATATATATACTTAGCCAGGTGTGCCGCCATTTTTTCATGTGTTCCAAGGTGTGTCCAGGGCCGTAACTAGTTCAGAGCAACGAGGGGGGGCGGTAAAATTGACGGAATTGTATTTATGGTCGACAATTTTTCCACAGGAGGGGGGGGGGGGAGCTTTTTGCGCTGGGGGGGGGGGGGGGGGGGCTGGGTGTGCCGTTGGCAACACAAGGTTGAGAACCACTGAGATAGAACATACCCCGTCAAGATGCATTATGTAAGATTTAGATAAAGGGCTGGTCGTTGAAAATTTCATTCGTACTTCATTCTGAGAGAAGCTATCGGTGTTTATTATCGTAGCAACGGTACTTGACAATCGGGACTAAGTCACTATTATCCATTTTTAAATCAAATTAATAAATGGCGATCGTGTTTCAATCCATTTAATTCAAGGCCATCCGATGGCCTCGAGAGTTGTTTATAGGCTTGTCAAGTGAATACATGTCTAAATAATAACCAATGAAGCCAAGCTCTTACATAATGCATCTTTAATGACATAATAACACTCTTTGCTTCAAAATGGTACGCTTGTTTTCGTTTTTAAGATATTTGCGATCGGTGACATACGTGAACAGCCCAAATTGAATGGCAGTCTTTGGCGCCTGCTTAATCCAGTCAACAAGATTACTTTAATCGCTCGTGGATCATCTATTTTAATTACTTCCGCATTGACTTGTGGGATGTGTTTTGCTGTATAATTTCTTCACCAAGCCTTCTAAATACAAATGGTGCCCTAGACCACAGGGAACTCGATGTTGGGAGCTAATTTGAAAATGTTCATGGAGTTTTAAATATTGGATATCAAGAGCCCATATTTCACGGTAAGATAACAACATCAATATTCATTGAAATGGACCAATATTAAGGGCAAGTTAGCGTGACACCATATTGATGCAAACTAGTCTCGACACCAGCAAGACTGGACATATTAGTTTCCAATACAGAATAGTGGCCAGTGGATACGAAAGTCCAAATTAAACTATATTACTCATAATACACTATTTTACTGTCAATAACTCTTTAAATCGTACAATCACGTGTTAGCATGTAAACGAAAATTTCAATTTCATCACTTTCTTGTACAATCGCTGTTGCACCTACAGATAAAACAATAAAAGTTTAGGACAGCTATTATCTCTCAATAGATAGTCTGATCTATGCAGTACATGATTTGATTTCATGTTAACATGTCGTGTGAGATTTCCGCGTCCTTGCTAGCGCGTGGTTGGGGTTCGCCATTTTCTTCTACCTTGAAAATGGCCATTCATAATAATCGTTAAACTGACAACGTTTACTAGAACATTATATCGATATGTAAAGGTTTCATTTACATCACCTTACACACAATTATGTCGGTTTCCGTTTAATAAAACACTCCACCGTTTTATAAACGTAAACACTTCTTTCTCCAAGGAAGCTTCCTCCCAAAATTTCAAACGTTCTAGACCTCACGTTTACACCAATGAGCAAGTTTCTAAATATTTAATTTCAAAAACTAAGATGAATTCAAATCAGAATACAAATGAAGTGTCATTTACGTGATTTGATAACATTAAAAAAATAAATCATTCATGAACTTATTGTCGTAATCAGCACTTCCGGTGATTATCAAAAGGTATATAAAGATGCAGTATATACTTTTTGACTTATACTATGACAAATTATTATCGATAAATCAGGTGGTATATCATATTATAAACCATTGACCTCATCTACAAGAACTGTCACTTCTTTTAATATTACATAATTAATATAATATTTTACCGTAAAACTTAGAAAATATGCCCTATGTTCAATTATCAGATATCTGTATGCTTTCAGACAGGAAATTTCGAAGGATGAATTATTAAGAAGTTATAAAAATGTTAATAATGTGTATTCAATGCAACAATAGCTTAACACAAAAGCTGTTTCGATGAAGTTTTGATACCACATTTACTACTTTCAATATAGGCCCTAAATATTTAATCCAGATGATGTATGGTACTCCATACAAAAAGCCTAAAAGTAGTCCCTTGCAAAAAATCGTTTGATTATATGAACTTGGTGTGCTAAAACAAAGACAGTTTTCAAAATTTGAAGTCTTGTTGGTTGTAGTGTATATATTCAGGCATCTTTGTGAGACTTTGTGATTTCCCATGTTGAGTTGTTTACTCTGTAGTTGCGCAGTGCTGAATGGTATATTTGCTATATCACATTTTCGAAAGTTACAAATTCTAGAGTCATGATTTTTCATTCTCATTCACTTTTTTATTGTTCGGTATCATCTCAAGCACATTTAGATTGCAAAATACAGGCAATAAAGCTGTTGTGAATATCTTTTTTGAAGACCCCCATTTCAGGTGCTGTGACGATTTTTGTCACTTTACCTTGCCCTTAAAGTTTAATTGGTGATGATAGACTTCCTGATTTAAAGTGTTCGACCGATAAGACTATCCCCCACTCAAGCCCAACCACAGGAAATCGGCACCAATGTGGCGCGGCAAGATTCAAACAACATTTTGTTTCCATGATTCGCCATTCCATGATTTGTTTTTCTCTCTTCTGTTTTTCAGACATTTACGGTTTCGCTCTGTTTCATCCAGTTAAAAGTTTTTACACAGTTTAATTATCGACTGCTGCTTGCCTTCATCGTTACCTAGTTTATTTTTTTAATGTTAACGCCGGCAATTTTAATTTGGTTAAATTGTTCTCGGAAATAGAAAAAGCCTTTAGGTGAATTTAATTAAATTTAATTCAGTTAATATGGCATGTTATTACGTTTACAACCAAACGTAAACAAAAGATGTTTATTTTAAAATCATAATGAAAACCAAACGTACTCAGGCAGTAGAATCTGCGATTTATCGTGACTGTGCAGTTACATCGTTCACATGTTATTATATGTAAAGTTTGAGACAAATCAGTTGGTCAGCGAGGAGATATAGACGTTGTAACTTTCAAATTACCACTATCATGCGTATTTAATTCTGCCTCCAAGGAAATTAACCGAGGATATTGCAAATAGGTCAGCGTTTGGATTTTTTAATAATTAGGTGAATCTATGGTTATTTTGAATGTGATATTACAGAAAAATAAATACAGTTATTTTCTTGGTGAGAGCTGCAATTCCTCTTCAAAGTGGATTTCTACTGATAAACATAACCGGACAAATGCTCACATTTTGGGTTGAGTACGACGAGATCAAAATTTCCGAAGGACGGCCGAGAGATTCTAAGTCATAAGAGCATTCTCCGGGTCCTCATTCGTTACGCAATCGAGGCCCCATTTGCTGTCGCATTCGATAGGGCCCCTTTTACACAGAAAAAGGGCTCTGTGTGTAATTGCTATGTTTATATTGCCACTAGTTCGTCGGGAAATGTGACGTCATTTAATCATACATTAGTGTCTTTAAAACGGACTAGCGGGTATTCGTATTCGTACATTGATTGAAGTTTAAAACTAAGTTCTAATACAGAACAAAATATGTAATGTTCAATATATCACATTTACTCACCCAGAATACACCTCAGAATACACCAAATCTAATCTATTTTTCAAAATGTTCTTGATTCTTCGCGCCACACTAGACCCTACTCAAATTACATAAACATTATGTCAAACCTACAATTGATTATTGTTATTTATTACATTCTGCCTGACCTTACTACAAGTGAGCATATAATCCTCCTACCTGACAACATGGGCACGGGCCATCTCTTTTAAATCACACCGCTATGCTGTCGCTAGGTCATTTATTTATCACGCGTTAGCTTCAGATCAAAATAAAATGAAATGGGGTTTAACGTCCTACATTCTGCACATGAAATGGGTCCTTTTATGTGCACGCCAATGAGTACACGTGACCTC